TTTTTTTTTATTGGTCAAGTATTTTTTTTTAGAGTCTATTTACTACGAAAACAACAATATATGAAACTTCCAATTAGTAAAAGATAAGAACAATAAAGATTTTAAAATCTAAATGATAAAAATTTTTTAATTAGCGTTTGTAAAAGCACTTCTATTTTATTTTTAAATTTTCACTTCTTTCAAATGCCTTCACAATAATTATGTATTTCTAATAAACAATTAGCTTTATAGCCCATGAAAGAGGAGAAAACGTAACTTTTGACGAAAAAAAACGTGACTTCCTAGTTTTTGACAATTTTAATGATATTTTATGCTCAAAGTAGTGAGTTTCTATTTTCTAAAATGAAAGATGAAGACTGCGAAAAAAATGAGATCCAGATGAACTGTGCAGTGTGAAAAAAGAGTTGTCTTCTTTTTTCAAAATTCTAAAAAAATACGAGAAAGACAGATCTTCAAATTGCTTTTTATTCGTTTTCTAGCAAAAATCAACCTTGTTGATTTGTAAAATAAAATATTGTTTTCTCAGAAGAAGCTACATGTTAATTAAATGGCGAAGTCAATCACCATAACCTTAGATATTGGTACAACAAAATCCTTATTGGATGAGAGAAAGTCACACTCAATATACTCAAAAATTAAATGTGTGGGCATAAATGGTAGGCGATACAAAAATAGGTCCCTTTTTTGTCATAGGAAATTTGAACGCTGTAACTTTTGTAAAATCAGATTGTTTCAAGCTGTCCAGGCGTTAAGATGTGATGATTTCGAAAATACATGGTTTCAAGGAGGATTAGAGGTCACGCTATCTTTGAATCATTCCCACCCGTAAAATTTATCGCTCTTTTTGATTCCAGTATAAGAAATAGGGGATCCCATATGAAAAAATGAGAGGTCACCGTTGGTTCCTCGTTGAAAGTTACATAGGGTATAACCTTTGTTTCATGACTAACCTCGTGCGGTTTTCCGAATTTTCCGAGGTTTTCTTACTTTTTCCTCACCCTGTATAGATATTGACCATTTTCAAGTGCTAATTTTAATTTGCTTGTTAATAGTATGCACATTACAAAAAGTAATCAAATACCATTAAATAAAATAATGGATTCAGAAAAAATTTCGTTATCTGGTATTACTGATAAAACTATTAAAAGATTTGGTTTAATAAAGATAATTATTAACGGTTGATTTCCATGTTGCTCCAAAATGATTTTCAATCTCCTATGATAAAATTATAGGTATACCTATTTTAAAAGAACACAAATTAAGATGAGATAACAGACATTTGGAAATAAATTATAAGAAAATACAACTTGTATCAATAACATTAAGTTCAAATAAATCAATTGCTTTTAGAGAAACTAAAAGAAAAATATAATCAAAAATAAAGGAGTAGCAAAAAGAGATTTTTAGCAAAATTTTATATAATATTAATAAAGGAAATGATAGTGAAAAGGGAAAATGCGAAAATTTGGAAATTTTTAAAAACGATTACGCAACTCATATATCAGGGCAAGACGACATACGAGGTGTGTTCAAAAAGTAAGGTATTTATTTATTTATCAATATTTATGTTGTCCCCTTCAAAGTAATCCCCCCTCACATACAATATACTTATGCCAACGGTTTTTCCAATCCTCAAAGCACTTCTCATAAGCACTTTTCGGTCTAGCCTTGAGCTCTTCCAGCGATGCAGTCTTTATCTCTTCAATCGTTGCAAATCTCCGTCCTTTCATAGATCTCTTTAGTTTTGGGAACAAGAAAAAGTCACATGGGGCCAAATTCGGTGAATATGGTGGCTGAGGCATGATTGTGGTGTTGTTTTTGGCCAAAAAATCTCTCACAAGCAAAGATGAGTGAGCAGGGGCATTATCGTGATGCAAAAGCCATGAATTGTTTTTCCACAATTCTGGGCGTTTTCTTCGTATTGCTTCTCGCAAACAGCGCTTAACTTCAAGATAATACAGTTTATTGACCGTACGTCCATATGGTAAGAACTCCTGATGCACCACGCCATTGTAATCGAAGAAAACAGTGAGCAAAACTTTGACATTTGATTGAACTTGGCGTGCTTTCTTCGGTCTTGGCTCATCTGGGCTCTTCCGTTGGGACGATTGGACTTTGGTTTCGATTTCATAACCATATACCCATGATTCGTCACCAGTTATGACCCTTTTGAGTAAATCTGGGTCGTTCAACAGGTCTTGAGCGATGCTCATGCGACGGTTCTTTTGGTCAAAATTTAGCAATTTCGGAACAAACTTCGCTGACACACGTCTCATGCCCAAAACGTTAGAAAAAATTTCATGGCACGAGTCAAGCGATATACCAACATCCTCAGCAACTTCTCTGATAGTAATTCGACGATTTTCCAGAACAATTTTATTACTGCTTGAACGTTTTCATCAGTTGTTGACGTGCTTGGGCGTCCAGAGCGAGGCTCGTCATTGGCATCTTCCCGGCCATCTTGGAATAGTTTGTACCACTTGTAAACATTTTTTTTACTCAGAACAGTGTCACCGAATGCCACCGTCAACATTTCAAGTGTTTCGGAGGACTTTATTTTATTTTTTACACAAAATTTGATGCATATCCTTTGATCCATATTTTTCGATAGCAAGAAATCGCCGAGCAGGCAAAACACTTATAACCTTTACGCCTCTCACAACCAAACAAAAAATGCTATACACTTGAAACTTGGTACAGATGTTCGAGAAGAGTGTACCAACATAATAAAACATAATAAAAATCGATAATCGAAAGTACGTTGCCCGTGAAATTTGAAAAGTCACCTTACTTTTTGAATACATCTCGTATGAGGTCTGTCCCAAGAGTATCAGACCTATCTCGTCTTCCGGCGCCTGGCATCTTTCAAAGTAAACCTCATTTGATTGAATAAGATGATTATATCGATGTTTCCATTTCATAAAGCACTCTTGTAAGTAAGACTTCGAAATAGCCTTCAATGCATTTGTCGCATTAGTTTCAAGTCTATTTATCATTGAATCGATGTCTCTTAAGCGGAATTTTCAATCAAAGAAACAGCCAAAATTCGCAAGGAGCTATATCGGGACTATATGGAGGCTGAAGGAGCTGCGCAACACTGTATTTCAATAAATACTTCTGCACAAGATTTGATACATGCGCTAGAACATTGTCGTGATGAATAAGCCAGGAACTAGTTTCCCCAAGTTGCGGTCGTTTTCTCCTGCCTGCATCACGCAATCTTTTCAAAACTTCAACATAGTACTCTCTGTTGGTTGTTTAGCCTGTAGGGGCATATTCGTAGTGCGCAACGCCTTTGTAATCGTCAAAAATAGATTAGAACGAGAATCACTGTGAATAGATGTGCGGCGACTTTTCTTTAATTTATGTTTTGCTCATACACTCATCTTTAAAATTCCTTTGCAACATTTCAATAGTTTCTGGACAACTTTTATCGAGATTAAAGTAAAACTATATGCAAATTCGCTGTTTGGTTCGTTCTGCCATTATTAGCAATAAACGAATCACGACGAACACAAAAAAGTCTTTGTAAACAAATACACGTTACGCGGGAGTTAAGCCATATTATCGGTATCTCGGGCTAGTGACGAGAACTTTAGGAGTTGCTGGTGACGATCGTATCCTCCAGATATCGCCTGAATCTGTTTGCGCGAAGATATGAACGTAAGTCAGATACTTGTAGGACAGACCTTGTATTCAACAAAATTCTAATACGTGAACCGATAATCGACATCAAACTGTGATTATGAATCGATAGACGAAAGAGGAATTTAAAAATGTTCGGGTTATGATTTCATCGCGATGCGTTCGAACGTAATGAGTAAAACTTGAATAAGGCAGAAAGTAGCATTAAACTGTTTGATTCTAGGTTGACCGTGACTGAAATTTGTACGAATGCCGATGACTCAATAACGTAACGAAGACCGGAAAGACAGTGCAATTTGTCAGCTACTTGACAGGCTTTATTCACCATTTCTTATTTCTTTGATGTAAACTCGTGTGATATACGTGATATTCTTTGCCCATTTCGTATCGCATGAAGTTGAAACTAAATAAATACGACTAGTTTATTTACCTTTGATCGTCTGGCTGTGTGTTAATAGAGATACCTGACCGTACATTATATGTTCATTGACTTGAAGTCCTGTACCTTCCTATACTCCCATAGCTGCCTCGGTCGGATTTTGAAGGACAAGCCAGTCCAGTCACACACTGCATCGCTGATGACAGTTGGATGTGGGGAAAAATCGACCTTTTACTTTTTCTCTATTTTCATAGCATCACAATACAACTAAATTTCGATAGTTGAACATTTTCTTGAGGCTTAGTGACATTACCGTCTGAGTCGAAAAAGATTTTCAAAGATTTCTCAAATAAATTAATTAAATAAGTTAAAATGTTTTGGCGATATTTTCTGTTCATAAACAAATAGCGCTCGAGGCTTATTTTAATAAAATTAGAGGCATTAGAACAAAAACGTTATTTTGCTTAGAGTTTATATTAATTTTTTTCTCGATTTCATGAAACATTTTTATCAAAATGAAAGTTGTGTGCGCTTTATTTATGCACAATGAATATTCGCAAAAAGTTTCAGCGTATTTCATTAATTTTTTAGAGAGAAAAACTTAAAAACCTCTTTCTGCTCAGTCTATAACGCCAGTAAGCGTTAAAAATATCGAGAAATACTAGAAAGATGAAAAGGTTTTATCCCCATATAGCTTCTGCGCTATATCTTCATTCCGTAACATACTCATACTATACAAGAATTAAACTCTGTCATTGCACTAGTTTTATCACATCCTGCTTCAAACTATTAAATTGATCCCGTTTCAAAATTTTTAATATATTCAACGAATTTTGATTTTATTCAATACTCATCTTGAAAAATGTTAGAAGCGGTTGATAAACTTTTTTTCAATTGAAAAAATTTTTACGTAAAGAAACTTAAGATAATTGGCCATAAATTTAGCCACAAAATTATACAATATTGTTCGACTAACCAATGCTGTCAGTATCCATGAAAATTGGCTCTATAGTGATAGCATAATCTTTAGCACGATCTATAACACCTGCTCTTAAATGAATCCCTTTTGCATTGTGTGGTCCACAGTTTATTGCAAATCTAATATCTCGCTCAGAGCTGTTCGCTGTTGCAACAAGGTTATCAAAAGCCTGCTCCACTTGAACTAACCCAGCGCCCTGTGCAAAAGGATCGAGCGTAGTAACAAAATGTGCCGTATTTTCGAGGGCACGTTTTATACTGTAAGGCGAAAATTTCAATTGTTTTTGTATAAGTCCAGATACCAGAATTGCTAAAAATAATATTATAATAAAAGAAAAGATTTATTATTACTTTACGTAATATATACGAGAAAATCTTTTTATCTCGTAGATATTACATATTCTTATGGAAATTCTTTACCTACGACACCAGCTACATGTGGACTTGCCATACTTGTTCCATTTAATAGTTGGCACTTTCTCAAAGTAAAATTGGGTACGCTCGTAATGGCACCACCTGGTGCACATACACTCACACCTAATCCACCATCAATCAAAGGACCTCGGGATGACCAAGTGTAAGGCATTCCTGGCAATTTTTCTCTTAATGAATACTCAGCCATCATCATATCAGGAGAAACATAGGCACCAACTCCAATAATACAATTTGAGTTTATATCTGGAGGTGTATCTACAGTTTTGCGTATTATTAAAAATTATTATAAGTATTTGAATTTTTATTCACAGCCGATAAAATATACATACTTATCGTACACAGAGCAGGACCTTGATTACCAGCAGATGTCACCCATGTAACTCCAAATGTATCACTCACTTCATTCATTAGTTCGCCAATTCTTCCTGCATTCGACCAATGAGCCCGTTCTCCATAGCTCATATTGATAACATGTACTTTCTCTTTATATGACATCACCTTTATCATTGCTCTTACAACTGCACTACCAGTTTCCATTGTATTTAATCTAGCATCGCCAATAGTTAAAGAAATAATCTGAGCACCTGGTGCTATACCATTTAATTCTTTATTATCCGGAAAGTGACCAGCAGCAATAGAAGCAACATGAGTACCGTGAGGAGCTGAAAGATTATAATAATTATTATTGATGTTTTATTATATTTTGCATAGAATTCAGTTTTTTTCAAAATAGTATGCGAAACGTACGGTTAGAGTCTAAACTAAATAACAGGATTGCTCCATTACAAACCAAATTTTGTCAGGCGACAAAAAATATGTGATTGTCCAAGAAAATTTCAATTTTTCTTAAAATTACAAAAAAAATTTACTGTGAACAGACGTCAAGTTTTGATTGAAGGAATCATCAAACTATGAGATTTATTTAAAGAAATAATCCACTCTTTAAGAAAACATAGAACGTGATAGAAGAAATGATCGTGGAGGTAGCACCAAAGGTTCTCGCGAGGTTCAACGCTACACTCGATCGATGGATTAGAGCAGTCACTAAGAGATACAGTAATTGTATGTAATAAAAGAAGGTACTGTTTAGACTTAAACAAAAATTTTTTTGAATTTAATAGAAAAATATTTTAATGGACACATTAATAAATATTTCGACTTAACACTTAATGTTGTCAATATTAGAAATATTGGTCGTTTAGAAGTAACTTTCTAGAGAGACATACGATTTGGATGATACAAAGAAGATATTAATAGCTTTAGACTTATATTATGAAAATAATTGAACGATAATTAGCAGTATTAGAAACAATTGAAAGCATCTTCCTTAAAATCAAGTCAATATGATATAATTTTGTTGATCATAAAGTTGAAAAGCGGCGTTAAAACGCTTAAACTATATATCACAGTGCGTTTGAACCAAAATTAAATAAAATGATCCAAAGATGGTTTTTTGAAAAAATTGAATTTGTTTTTTCTTTTAATTTTTTCTAACTTCAATAATGACGGAATTTTTGTTAAAAAAAATTTTTGTTAATATTTATAGTTGTATTTATTTATTGAGCAAGTTGTACTAGTCTAAATAATAGTTTTGCATGTAATTCTAAATGAAAAAATCAAATAACACTACAAAATTTGAGGAAATAAATATTAAAAATAATAAATAGAATAGTCCGGATGATTTACAGCATATAATGATGCACTATAAAATGTAGTGTTTAAAAGGATGTACTTCATGCTACGTATTTTTGAAGTAGTCCAAATTTTTATAGCTTGTGAAAATCCAGTATGATAATACGAACTTTATCACCGCATCGTACCTTCAGATGTAAACAAACAATCGTAAGGCTTCAGACTACTAAGTAGGCATGAAGCGATCGTGACTGTCGGCATAGTTATTAAAAAAGCCGCATACAGCTTTAACTCATGGTGAATCTCGATTGAAAGTGTAATCCATTTCAATTGTGTCCACCCCCCGATAATCATAACTGCTGCAAATAAAACATTTTTGGATAGCATTCCACCGCTTGAACTTCATTTAATGCTGAGTGTAGTAAATACTTTATACACGGACATAATGAGAGAATGCGAAATTGAAGCGCAAGCCTGGGCCGATGCTTATCACGTTCACGTGAAATAACATACGGTAGTTTCGGATTTAAGGGCAATTCATGTAAAAAACTATTAGAAAATATACATATTCTACGGCGCTTTTCAAATATAGCTGTGCTGAAATATGTTAAGGCATTTGATGACTTTAAATATGTTGTCTATGCCTATTTTGGAATGGCACTTGGAAAAAAAATATAAAACATGCATGAGAACTTTCAGAGAAAGTTATATATCCTTAGGTGTTAGCATAACATCCAAAGTTCATGCAGTTTTCTTTTACGTACAGCAATTTTGTAATAAATCAAGATCTAGACTTGGTTGTTATGGCAAACAGACGATGGAGTCAGTTACATTCCGAATTTAAAATTACATGGGCAAAAAACAAAATTGCTGTAAATCACCCGGACTATCCTACTAAGCTTATGCGCGCAGGTTGCAATTACAATGCATTGCATATTTGAAACAATATACTAACTGTAACTTTCTAAATTATTTTTTGTGTATTTATTATTATTAACATTTTTTTCGTCAAATTTCGTAGCGTTATTTGATTTTTTAAAAATTATTATTACATGCAGAACTATAGTTTAGACTGATACAACACGCTCAATGAATAAATATAACTAGAAATAATTAAAAAAAAATTTTTTTAACAAAAATTCCGTTATTAAGTTAGTAAAACGTAAAAAAAAACGAAATCAATTTTTTCAAAAAGCCCTCTATGGATCATTTGAATTTATCTTTTTTTGTTATCTAGGGCCTCTATATAATCATAAACAAAAAGAAAATCCAAGGTGTAAGGTCATTTTATTTAATTTTGGTTCAAACGCACCGTGGTACGTAAACTTTAGTCGAATCCTGAATTCTCCATCTCGCTTTGAGAAGATCCAACAGAAAATCGGTAGAGTAAAGGAAAGTTCCATCGGATTGTGCTACTGTCATGACACTGTGAAGATACCGCGATTACCATACATAATCCTTGAGTATCGCCAACTTTCCCTCCGTACTCAACCCTTGCTCTAATAAGTATTCCACTAATCCCAATGGTAGAACTTTTAATACGTGCACTCTAAAGTGCTACAACTTCAGCTCTATGCCCAGGTATCGGACGTACAAATCCACAATTGGAGATGTACGAACGAGCGAGGGGCATGACGTGATAGCCACAATCCTAAGAAAAGCGAAAGACAACGGTAATAGTGGGGGAAGGAGAACAGGTTATTTCGGCACCTAGAACACATGCCAGTGATCGCACAGATAGTCCTAGATCACGCTGCACATGCGTCAATTTTATCTAAAATAGATTGCGCAGCCGTGTTCCATGTTGCGTATACCATCATCAATTTTGATTTGGGTGTGGTACATAACCCCGTTTACAGTATCATTACCACTTGAAAATCGTACAGCTTACAGAAGAAAATAAAAAAAGCACTATAAAAAGAAAGGAAAAATCCAAAAAAACACAAATAGACTTGCCCTGCAGCCCCATTCGCGCACCGATTTTACCCATCGATTATAGCATATTAAATAGGCAACTACTGTACATGAGTCTACGCACGTAGGTATCAAGGCACCGCATGATTAAAATGCCCGCTGCAGCTACTCCGCACGTGTTGAGTGGCTGAAAACGCCCAACTGTGCTACTAGCTGTTTAGCCCCATAGCGTTGTAGCACATGTACTCTGGGTCAGGCAACAATCAATTGCAAAACCGGCTCAATACTTAAGCGAGCAGCGCGGGAGTCGCCCTCTACGAATGAGTACCATTCGTATCTGAAACTTTGGCGCCGTACCTTCCCCGCCATGAATGTCATATAATGGAAATGCGACCGACAATCCGAAAATGTTATAACAGTGACCATGTGCACAAATTATTTAAGAAGTAACTTTGATAGCCACGAACCATCCCACGGCTAAAATACACCGAGTATGTATATTATTTATGCATGAAAATAATATCAGAACGAGGTTAGTAATAGGTCAAAATACAGTACAATATGCTTTCACTAATATACGAGGGGGGGTCAATAAGTCTTTACAAAATCCAAGAGATGGCGATCGTTACGCTTAAATTATGAAGTTTTTGGCAAGTAATACTACTAACTACTAGATATCATATAAAGTTTCAGCTCGATACATTAAGTCGTTTTTTTGTGAGCGTTGGTTGAACAGAAAGTTATTGGTTTATTTGAAAAATGGAAAAAACAGAGTTTCGAGCGGTGATAAAACATTTTCATTTGAAAGGCCTTACACCAAAAGAAATCAGAGTTGAATTGAATGCCGTTCATGGCAAATCTGCTCCTGTGTTTAAGACTGTTTATAATTGGGTAAATGAATTTAAACGCGGCCATAAAATAACAAAAGATGAACCTCGCTCAGGACGCTTCGTAGAAGTGAGTACGCCCGAAATGGTCAAGAAAATCTACGATATGGTATTGAGTGATAGAAGATTAAAATTGCGAGAATTAGTTGAGGCCACAGGGGTATCAAAGGATACAATTATTTCAATTTTGCATGAAAAATTAGGGATGAAAAAAATATCAGCAATATGGGTGCCGCGTTTGCTCACTGTTGAAAGCAAACGAAACCGCGTGGTCACCTCTGAGGCTCCTTTGGCACGCAACGTCGTAATCCGGAAGACTTTTGGCGTCGACTCGTCACTGTAGACGAACATGGGTATACCACTACACTCCTGAAACCAAAGAACAGTCCAAACAATGGATTACCGCAGGAGAACCAGCCCCAAAAAAGGCAAAGACAGTAAAGTAGTCAGCTGGCAAGATTATGGCCACGGTTTTCTGGGATGCGTATGGAATCATCTAAATCGACTACTTAGAAAAGGGCCAGACACACTCACTTTTAATCATCCCATGGCCACCTCCACTTTTTCTTCTGCCTGGAAACTCATCCTCATACGACCCCTACCCAAAATCAAAAAAATCAGTCTCCCTCTGATACCAGGACAATAGCCCAGCTTTCCAAAACTTCCAAGGTCCTTGAGCGTTTTGCTGCATAAGTAACTATTTGGAGGCCCACAACATGTTTGACAACAGGCAGGCTGGGTTCCGGGTGGGGAACTCAACCGAGACCGCACTTATCGCTCTTTTGGATGATGTGAGACATGCTATTGAATTATGCCAGTTTACTATTCTTGTGCTTTTTGATTTTTCCAATGCCTTTGACAGCATCACTCATGATATGCTTGTTCGCAAAGTGAGGGCTTGCAATGTGGCTGAGTCGATCTTGCATTAGCTCTTTAGCTATCTGGCAGATAGGTTGCAGGCTGTCATTGACAAGAACCCCCTGTCTCGCGTTGGCTACACACTTGCACTGATGTCCCTCAGGAAAGCGTCCTTGGTCCTCTTCTGTTTGCCATCTTCATCAATGACTTCCCTAAGGTCCTTCATTTTTGCCGCCATCTCATTTATGCCGATGATACCTAGATATACTTTTATTGTTTTCCATCAGAAATACATTATGGCCTCACTAGGGTTCAGCTGGATACGTAGGCCGTCGCGGATTGGGCTGCGACGAATGTTCTCCGGGTGAAAC